GGTTTTCTCCCTATTGAAATATAAAACCCTCATCACCTCAGACCAAAGAGATGATGAATACCCATCAAGAATATCCTTTGGGCTAGACCCATTCAGTATGTACACGTGTATATTCCAACCAACGACTCAGACTCAAAGTGTTCTTGTATCATTAACATCTTAATCTACATTTATTTAGCGCTGTCTATTGACACTAGACCTCCTTGGGCAGCCTATTTACTTACAATTATGTCTGTTATTTAAAGCAGTATGGGCATTTTACTTACATGATTGCATGTATCAATAACAAAACCCTTCTTTCCAAGCTAATGTAAAATTTGTTAATTTAATTGATCATCTTACAGTTGGGGTTTAGGTAAGGTCTGTCCTCTATCAGCTGGGAAGGGCGGGCAGGTGTTCAGAGAGCTCATTACACAGCATGCTTGGCTTCCCCTCCCAGACTTGAGGGTCCTTAACAGGATATCTCCATCAGCAAGCAGAAAGATAATCAGTCTTAAACTCAGGTGACAGGGGGACTATAACTAAGACATAACAGATCTGCTTAGTTATTATGACTCTTGCCTGGTCTTTTTATGTGGTCAGGCCTCTGAAGATTCCCTGTTATTTAAATTTTAGTGTTTTTAGAATGCCAGGGAAATGATATAATTACCACTCAATTACCTACTTTTAATGCACATTCCTGGAAATCTCTCTTTCTTCCTAAAAGTGAGTAAAGTCTGCTGTGCCTGTAAACCTAGCAACAAGGACCAGCTGCTGTATTTCCAGTCCCGCCCAAGGGGGAAGCTGGAGCATGGAGGCAGGGCAAAAGGGGCCCTCAAGCAAGGGCATGTTGTCAGGCTCCTTCCTCTTCCTCTGCTCCCATTCGGCACTCATAAAAGCCTGTGATGGACTGTGTGGGGAGGAGGTGGTTTGCGGAAAGGGTGTGCAGACGATGGTAACACAACCCCTCTTGGCTGTCACCCTCCAAATCGCCCCATCTTGCCTCTTGCACTCCTTCCCTCCTCCACTCCTTGGCACCTTGTCTATAGTACTCACCCTGGGTCTCCAGGGTGCTTGCTTTTTCACTTGAGCACACATGTCCCCTTCTCAGACCGCCCGCCCTAAAACTGAACTGTTCCCCTCCTTTCTGTTGAATTTAGCATACAATAAACGTGCTTGTTTCTTTCATTCTTGTATCTCTGCCCTGAATGTCAGCTCCAAGAACATGCCAGTGTTTGGCTAGTCCAATGTTGTATCCTAAGTGCCTACCACCATATTTGACACACAGGAAAAAGCCAAGTGTCTGTTGAATGAATGAAAGAAAATGAAGGGATACAGAGATGATCAGAGATCATGTTCCAGCCACCCTCCCCCGGATACCAGAGGGTACTTACTCATGTCAGACACACTAGCAGGACTGGGCTCTGCTGACCGTGGAGCCCAAGAACTCTCTCTGCCTAGCCATTTGGCAAGCTCTCAGGAAGACAAAGATCTTATCCATAGCACACTGTGTATCGTACGAGGGATAAAGAACATCAACCATTGGGACTTTAGCCTAAGAAGTCACCAACGGTAAAGAAATCGTATTTTCAAAGCTAGTGTGACAGTCCCAGAAAGTGAGTTCCCAGGTTCCCAGCTCTGCCACCACTGTGCTGGGCATAATGAATCTCAGCTCTGTAGCATTTGCCCTGTAGGTGTGGATGCCGAATCCCTGGGTGGCTACGGATGCAGTGACCAGGAAAGCAAGTCAGTCATCATGAGCAACAGAAACTGTGGGCCAAATGCTACTGACAAATCAGCCCATTGCTGGTCAATTGCCTTCCCCAGGAGAAGGTGCCACTGACCTGGTTCCTGTCAATAAATGTCTATCTGGGCGCATTACCTGCTGCAGCCTACTAAGACACCCAGTGCTGTCCACGGGCACTGGTGGCCAGGAAACCTCACTCCCTCCCCCTTAATAATGTCACAGAAGAGGCAAATGCAGTGCTGACAACATAATGACAGCTTCACCAAGACGTGTCTCTCTGAATGCCTAGCTAGTTACCCGGCGCTCCAGCTGAATGGATTTTCTTACTGAAGAAACAATAGTGGGCTTCAGGAAGTTAGAGGCGCCACACTGTGATGAGAGATACAATTCTGCCTCAGGTTGTGTGCCTGCTCATCGTCTCTCCTCTGAGTCAGGAAAAAAGAAATTGTTTGAAGGAACCATTTTCATTCCACACTTAGATAAAACCAGGTGGGCCCATTCTATCTGCCCAGGGCCCCAGCAACACTTTCCTCAGTCAGAGTCAGAATTCAGGTCTTTGGTAGAGCTACAGGCCAAGGTGGCCTAGCCCTAGGACAAGCCCTTGTTTGAGCTATCACCCTGGCAACCATCTCATAGGGCCTCTGCTAGATTTAAAACAGTAAATTTCCTCTTAAACCTGTTGTAATTCTCAGTCTGTCCACAAAGACTACTTTGGGGGCACATTCAATCTGGCCTGAGAAGCTGATTATGAGCTATCTCAGGCCTCAAGTAGCAAGCAAGGCTGGGAGGAGTCAATAACTGGTCCCAAGGACAGGAGTTCTACAGCCAGTGCAGGTGCCTGACAAAGGTGTTTCTGTCAAATTTACACAGACCCAGACATACCTGGGTAGAGGAAATCTTAACCAAGAAAATGCCTCCAAAAGACTGGCCTGTGGGTATGCCTTTGGGATGTTTTCTTAATTATTGATTGATGTGGGAGGGCCCAGACAGGCAGGACCACACTTGGGCAGGTAGGTAGTCCTGAGTTCTCTAAGAAAACAGGCTGAGCAAGGAGGAGGAGCAAGCCAGTAAGCAGCGCTCCTCCATGGTGTCTTTTCTAGCTCTGCATCCAGGTTCCTGCTTTGACTCTGCCCAGACTTCCCTCAGTGATAGGGTGTGGCCCAAGAGTTTTAAGCTGAAATAAACCCTTTAACCCACAAGTTTCTTTGAGTCATTGGCGTTTTATCACACCAATAGAACCCTAACTAAGACAGCGGGTGTCTCAGTAAGCTCAGACGATGATGGGAGGATAGCCAGTATTCCCTCGTAGATTCAGCAACACCAAAGAGAGAGTTAGAGGGAGTATGACCCAAGACTCACAAGCATGGCGTAAAGGAGCACAGTACCTACAGACAGACTGATACAGCAGCTTGGGTGGCTGAAGACACAAGAGACCCGGCTGTAACAGAAGTCACTAACACCATTTTTCTCTGTATTTACTACTCCATTGCTTTGGGCAAAGGGAGTCAGGAATGGTGTGGTGGGCTTGAAGAGAGAATCAAATGGTGGACTGTGTAGATAAGCACCACACCAGGGTTTCACTTGGTTACACAGTGGAGAGTGGAGGAGGGAGAACTCTTGGAGCTGTTTAGGAGGCAGCACAGAACCTTATCCACCCTGGGCATCAAGGGTGGATAAATGAGGGGGACAAATTTAGGAAGGGCCTTGTGGTTTTGGCTTGGTCCAAAGATGTGTGGAATCACCAAACCAATGGCGAATAGTGACACTGAGGTAAGGTGGCTGGGATGGGAAGCGGAAGGACAACAGGATTCCGTTTTAGCTGGCCTGGTGTAAGACACACATGGACACAGTTAGACGGTGTGGTGAAGGGAAGGAAGGGTACCCAGTACTAGGTGAGAGAATGGGAGTCAGAGCCATTAAAGGAGACTGGACAGAGGTGCAAAGCTGCCCGCTTGCTTCAATCTTCATTGGAAAGAAGACTGGCCCTCAAATTAGAAATGGCAGAACAAACATAATAAAGAGAAAATTGAAGTCCCAAATAGGTGAAGTGAAAGAGAGTGTCTAGTCAATTTAAATGATTTCAAGTCTTCTGGCTCAGATGAGTTACACCCCAAGCCTCCTGCAAGAAATTGCAGATGTAATCTCAGAGACACGATTGGTAATCTTCAAGAAATTGTAGGGGAGACAGTGCCAGAAGACAAAAGAAAGACAACTGTTAGCACATTTGTGAGGAGGCAAACACAGACACAGTTAACATCATCCATGACAAAAGTCCTAAGAAGGCAGAGCATGAACACAGCTCAGAAGAGTAAGGCTCGTGGGGTCATCCATCCCCAGTGCTCAGCCCCATACTTCATCCCTGTGATATTTGGCCTAGGAGGTGGCTCTGGATGAAATGGGGTTAACTAAAATGAAGAAATCCAACCGTCCCAATCCAAGACCTCCAGCACTGGCACCTCAGCATATGTGGGAAACACAGAGCTCCACTAAGCCTGTGTCTGCTACACTGCCTCCCTCTGCTTTCTTCCTATAGAATGTCTACAATGAGAGCCTCGAGGAGTAAGCCAAGTGTACAACAGTACCATGAAGAGGCAGTCCCGACCTGCCAACACCTCCACCCTCAGCGGACTGGGGTAGACAGACATTTATTTTTTCCTCTATGAGGAGCCTTCAAAGGCCTCCTTAGAACCAAGAAAGAAGAGGACAGGAGGGGAGGGGAAAAGACGGGCGGAGAGGGGAAAGCAGACAAATGAAAAAGAATAGTACCAGCCTTTAAGAACTGACCTTCTAGGGGATGTCACCAGTCTCACGCTTAAAAACTGGTAACATCCTGTAAGTCAAGCAAAGTCAAAGCTCCCTTCTTAAAACAAAATGGATCAAGAAGAGACTCAAACTCAATGCCACTAAAAAGACTGTCTAGAGCCAGGCTTCTTATCTGGGTCTCTGGTTCACATACAAAGGTGTTTATGGAAGCTGAACACAGCTTTTTACCCACACCAACCCTTGATGTCACCCTATAGATCTCTAAACTCACACATGGCAAGACTGCAATAGTGAGATCCTCAGAGGGAGGCTTCCCATCCAGGTCCCTCCCTCCCAGCTGACTTGAGGTCCACTTTCAGCGTTGCTCCCTACTAAACAATCGAAATGGACAGCTGGTGTCTCCCTGTCTGTCTCCAATCTTTATAATAAATAGAACTTCTTCTCTGAAATTGAAGATTGGTGATTACGTGTATCTGCACTCTTTGAACTAACAAATGCAAAGAAATCTTACCGTATTGATCCAATCATGTATGGCTGTGCCAGCTGAACCACAATTGCACCACTTCCCAGCTGGTGACACGTATAGCCAGAATCCCAGTCATAATTCTTAGTGTCCCCATTCAGCAAGGCATTTCGGCTGCGACTGACTCCTTCAATCACGCTGGCACAATCGGCAATTGTTGCAACATTCTCCATAGGAACTGTGAATCCAAAGCACAAGATCCGGCATCAGGATAAGAGAAGCCAACTATATCCCTATAGCATGCTCAGAACAAAATTAATTAATTAGCATCTCAAATCAACAATAAAAAGGAAACTAGAAGATTCTGATTATCTTCAGATAAGAGTTTCCATGCTAAATAATTAAACAAATAAAAACTGAACCTTCAGGTTGGAATATCCACACCATACGTAGCAATTAATTCTTTTTTTAAAGATTTTATTTATTATGTATACAGTTATCTGCATGCATGCTTGCACACCAGAAGAGGGCACCAGATCTCATCACGGATGGTTGTGAGCCACCATATGGTTGCTGGGAATCAAACTCAGGACCTCTGGAAGAGCAGTCAGCGCTCCCAACCTCTGAACCATCTCTCTAGCCCCCGATATGTAGCAAATAATTCTTAAGTATTTCATTATAAGAGCACAATAACAGAATATAGAAATACATTGTAAGACATAACTCAATGGGAAACTTTTCATCAGTCTGGATGAATTTTAATGTGCTCCTGGTGGTTAAATCCAGGGCCTTGCACATTCTAAACAAGCTGTGCCCTGGCCAGTAACTGGGTCTAATGAGCTACAGCTACATACATGTTGAGTAGAAAACTTATACATCCAGCAGCTCAAACTCTGTAGTGCAGAAAAGAGGCCGCAGACACAAGGTATCAGAACACACAGCTGGTTTCACCCCACTCACTCTACTGTGCTTGTTGTTCAGTGAGTGGGCAGACAGGGGCTCTCCTTTGCTCAGGAGCTGCTAGATCTTAAGAAAACAGCTGTGTTTTGATTCTGAGTCTCTGTACTTCAAGTCCACATCAACCTGTTCATTTATAAAAGTCAAGGGCTCCCACAAAGCTATAGCTGCTCAGTATGATAAAGACTCTCCAAATACGAAGATACCAATGAGTATTCATGGTATACAATCAAAACCTAAAATCTTCTTTGAACATTTAAGCCATTTAACCCAAATCTACTGTTATCCGCTCAGAAAAGATAGACTGAGTAATGCCACCACCACCCACCGCACTAAAACATTCTAACATCATAGTGGTGCAGAGTAAATAACTTCACGTCATCTTCTAAACAATGAGTTTATTTTCAAAGTGGGACAAGCCTGTACACTGAAGTCTTTGCCAACTAATTGCTCCACTCTCCACAGATAAGGAAGACCACCCACAGACAAGGAAAACAGGGAGGAAGGGGAGGGTGGACAGGTTTGTCGTGATGAACCCCTTATTCCAAAGCAAGAAAAACAAAACAACAACAACAACAAAACCACTGGAGTATTCCTGATGAGGACAGATTCCTGGCAGAAAGAGGGCACCTTTTTAAGATGATTCTTAAAACAGGTGAATGCTAGCCTTGGAGGGTAAACCCTGATGCCTCTGTTTCCTGGGAAAAGGGAGCCTTCTGCTATTTGGGAGGCAGGGTTTAAGGAAGCAGAAGACAGAGGAAGAGCCTGGGAGCAAGACTCAGACACTGGGAAGTAGCCTGGCAGGAGCGCACACCCCTGGCCCTCAGACACTTGGGGCAGCAGGCATCATCCACCATGCTCTTCAGCCCATCAGCCAGTGGCTCTGCTAACTATACCTCCAGTACAACAGCAGCTCTTAAAATGTTCTTCCTAAAGGGGCATATCCCTTTACTCACATTTCATTGGCCAATTCAAGTCACATGACCTTACTTGGGGTTAAAAGAGGGCAGAAAGCTACCTTGTCCTGGGTGCAATCTACAGATATTACAAAATGTAATCTCCCTGCCCAGGAACGTTTAGATTGCTAACATTTTTCTTTCCTTGCCTTTCCAAAGAACAGTGTCTTCTGAGTATCTGGGTAACAATTTTTTTGTTTTGTTTGTTAAGGAAATATGTAAATATATGTACATACACATGTGCAGCCATAGATGGAAACAGAACTACACTTGAGGGTATGGTGAGACATGGTGCTATGGATGTATGCCCTTCAGCTTCCACAGATCTTACCAAATTAGTCACCAAATCACTTGTAAAGTTTACACTCTCCACTCATTGCTCCACTTTCTCAGCCACTTTGGGAGGTCAAACTGGCAGGGAGTGATTGGTCCATCAGTACAGTTTCTGTCTTTTTATCAAATCAACTTTATTTTCCTTCTTCTCCCTATAAAATCCCCCTCAATCTTTCTTCTGCGAATTGCTCGCTTTTATCTTTTTTCTTCTTTTCCTATTACACTTTTCTTTCTATTTTCATCTGTTCCTACACACGTCTGCCCATAGCAGTAGGGTTTTCACTGAACCAATACTTAAATTCTGTTCTCTGTTTCTGGATTCATGGAGCTCTTCCCTCTATTATTTCCTCCCTTCTGTTCTGCTATTGGAGTTATTAAGTATGGATGCAAAAGTTTGGTGATGGTCTATTTCCTGGTGAGTATCCTCATCCTTCCAATCTCCAAATCTTAGAGGTATAGTGCTCAAGGGATTTTTTTTTCTACACAGGAATATTTGAAATTTTTCACTTATTTTAAACACCATTTATAAAAATCTGAAGGATGGTGAGTCTCTGCCCACCCACCCGCTCCAACCAATGACAGGTCATGGACACCAGGGACTGTCACAGGCTACAGTAACTTGGTCCTGTGCTCGCTGAGAAGCCAGGCCAGGACAGACATTCACAGCTATGTCTTCTTATGCGCGCACTCCAAGGCACATACACAGACCCACTACACCATCTAATGGCACTCGTGTTTCTTTTCAAGAGAGACTTTTTTAGAACTCTCATAGCTACTTGGTAGCCAACTCCATCTCCTACATCTTAGAGCACAATGTCAAAACACCTCTTAGTTTTTATTCCTACTTTTTGGTTTAGATCAATGCACAGAGCAAATGATGCCAGGACGTGAAACAGGGAGGACAGGAATGGGGTCCAGAAGCCGTGGGTGATGGCCTTCTGTAGACTACGATGGTGTGATGATAATCACTCCAGCCCTGTCCAGGCCTTAATGTCTAAGCCAGTATGTCAATCTGGCCAAACCGACCTGAGGTAGAGAACGAGAGTTTCCTAAGGGTAGAAGCTGTTTCTTTCCCCACCACAATGAGGCTGTGGCACTTCCCTTTGTTAGCAAAGCTCCTCATCCAAAGCCACAAAGATCTGAAGTTACAGATGAAAGCAGACAAACAGCACTTTTTTTTGGGGGGGTGGGTTTGAGGGAATCCCCTTAGGAAACTAAGACATGATCAGTCTCTGGGAGCTGACCTGGACAGAGGCGGGCAGTGGCCTTGGCAGGAGAGCTGCAATGTAAGCGCATGGCCCTTCTGTCCTCAGAAGTCCTTCCATCAAAACCTGACCCATGAACAGAAAGGCTGGATACCCACAGGAGGGTAAATACTTTGGACAAGAAACCATTTTGGAATGCAAAAACAAAAGGAGAAATATAGATTACAGTATGGCTTTAAAAGATAAAAAATATTTTTTTATCTTTTTTTAGGTTGTTATTTTTATTGTTTTAAATTTTTTCATACAATGTATTTTGATCATATTCTTTCTCCTCTCCCAAGTTCATCATATTATAGGAGCTATGACAGCAGAGGTTTGTCCCAAATGTCACTACTAACTATACCAACTAGAGGCTCCTTTCTCCATTTCAGCAGAAAATATCTGGATGACTAATTCTTCTCACAGAAAAGCAAGCCTCAGCTTGCCTCGCTGGCCTGCCCAACTCGGTCTTTGCGCTGGGAAGAATCAGAGAGTGCCTACCTGGCTGCCGCACATGGGCAGGGCACAGCTGCTCTCCCTAAAGGAGTGGGCTTTTAGAATGTTCCCATTTAGAATGTTCATTACTGTCTTTCATATGAGCCTGATAAATTTATTAAAAACACCATCTGGCTGGGACTCAGCTTTGTGCTGTATTTCCAGTCTTCCAGTCTCTTTCCTGGTCCCAAGGGAATTTCTGCCCCAATTTGTGCCACTTTGTTTACAGACCCGTGCTGCCAGAATCGAGCATCTTGTGCCTGTCTCTTCCTGGGTTTCTGCTGCCATCCTCATGCTCCATCCTCGGCTCCATTCCTATTACAACAGCCTGTGCTAGGAGCTGGAGACGGGGGAACTGCTTGAGCAGAAATTACTTTTCCCCCTCCATGCACACAGCAATTCTGCTCAGACAAATTTAATTTGCTGCTTCTGAATGCAAAAGGTGCGTGTTAACGAAGTGTGTACATTCTGCAAATGTGTGGAGAACAGAGTGCCTGCCTGCCTGCCTGGGCTGGGGGAGTGGCAGGAAAAGCCACCTGAGAACATGGTTCCCCACTCTTGCAGTGCCAGGGATGACCAGCAGCCTGCCAGTGATAAATTCTTTAAAAAGGCAGTGTTGGTTCACTAGGACATGACTCGAGGGACACTCATACCAGCTATATTTAAAGATAAGAATGACAATCTGTTATTTGACTTGTCTCCAGAGATCAATATGCAGACCTGGGGAAAAAAGCTTTTTTAAAATTAAAAAAAAAAGGCAGTTTTAAAAAAACTGTATTTATGTATATGAGGACTTTGCATATACATCTGCACACCAGCAGAGGCCATCAGATCCCATTATAGACAGTTGTGAGACTCCATGTGGGTGCTGAGAACTGAACTCAGGACCTCTGGAAGAGCAGCCAGGTCTCTTAACCCATGAGACATCTCTCCAGCCCTGAAAAAAGCCTTCTTAAGCAGATTTTTTTTTTTTTTTTAATGAAACAACACTTGGCTCTTACAGTAGACCCTGTGCTTGTGGCGACTTTATTCGCTGTCTTCCTGACTGTCAGATACAAAGTTACTTGCTAATAGTCTCCCTCCCCCACCCCCCCATAAGTGCTTAATAGACTCACGATACATTTTTCTTGGAAGATTTTCTAAGTAGAGTGCCAAGATTTAGATACAAAGTATTTCCTGATTAAAAAGACAAGGAAGGCTATTTTTACCTTAAGGGCCTACCTATCCACCCCCCCTCCTCGCTGCTGTTTGAT